AAGAGGTAGCCTCACTAGCCATTTGCTGTCCCACAATTTTATCACGCAATGACCTTATTAACAATTTTTGCATGACGAAATAATTTTATATTTTGTCAATTCCTGACTCCTGTCAATACTCTATAATATTATTGGTATAATATAATAATTATTATCGTCTCGTGACTATTAGGCATTAGCGCTTTAATTTATAAAAATGCTATATAATTGTATTTATGTCATTGCTTACATTGGCGTACACTCGGGGAGTGGAGGTGTTTAACCACCCCGCTTGGTATTTTTGTTCAATGTGCACAATTAGGTACATAAAATATATATAAACAAATTAATAATTATAATACTATAATATAAACATATTCCCACCCATCCCACATTTTTGTTTTTTAAACAAAAATTCGGCAATATCATAACACCCAATCAACGACTATGAAAATAATAAATAATTTTTTCAACAATATAATTAATTTGAAGTTCTTAAGTCAAGTTGACACAATACTTGTTGATGGAACTTTTAAAAGTTATTCTACTGTAAGTTATTTGCTAAATTTTTCAAGACTCATGGTTTATCAAATGAAAATTACATACCAACCATTAGTTTTTTTTATTAATTGACAATAATGTAGAATCTGACAAGAAATTATTTCTTCATTTTAATTCAGAATATATTCAAAATAACATGAATTCTTAGCGAAAATGTTATTTACTGATTACGAAAAGACAATTCACTCGGCAGTATTATTTGTTTGGCCACCCGTCGAATTAAAGGATTATACGCTAAATTGAGGCGACAAATATCTGTGAATCTTTCCATTCAAAATTTAACGGTAGGTATGTTTTATTCTGCATTTTTGCTCATCCAAATATCTGCAAATGTATTGATATACTCGGAAACGTACAAAAAGATAAGTATACCTACTATTATATCAAAATTAGCAGTAGTAGTCAAATAAAAAAATAAAACGTGAAATATGTGAAAAACAAGAATTTTTAAGATGACAAATGATTTAATACGACGTCAACGAAATAACACGTTTTAATTATAACAAAATTGTATCATTCAAATTTTTACCAATCTATAAAGTATAAATATTGTAGTATCATTTTTTTTTTGTTTAAAATTTTTTATTACAATTATTTCAACAGTTAAGTATTAGGAAGCAAGATCAAAATATCATTTTAATATAATGATTCAACCTAACCTTACTTTAATTTTTTAATTGGTTTAATTAGTTTAATGAATTGAAGACAAAAACAATATTTTAGCAATGTAATATTTAATATTGTCATTGAAAGTCCTAATAAGTCTGTATTAAATTGGAAGGAAAATAATGTATTTATACATCGGACGCAATTAGTGTTGTGGTTAAATATTATCGGGACGCAATTCGTATGAAAAAAGAACGCAAATTAGTTTCCTGAGATATTTGAAATGTTCCGGTTGTAATTGAGCAAACATTGAACTTAGACTAAAAACCAAACAATTACCGAAAACTCATTAGGTACCTAGTACATAAGTACATTTGGGTTATTATATTTAAATTATTATCCAGGTTGCAGGTGAAAATGAAATAATCATGAAAACTCGACAATTTGACCATTGACCAATTTTAATTCAATCGTGGTCATTTCATTGTCAGATTTTTTTTCAGTTGCACATAATTATTATAATCCAAAAAATCTTGTTGGGAATAAATGGCAATCTTAATATATTTTAGATTAGAAAATTCTTTCAAATACTTTCGAGTTTCGAATATGCATTTTATTAGTTCGAATATAATATTGACATATTCTGTACTATATATTACATGAAAAAAATGGTTTCAGTACAAATATTTGAAATATAAAAATACCTATACTTTTTGATTTGTATTTAAACATTTTGTTCTGTGTTGGTACCCGGCACTCCCCGTACTCCCACCTTCGGCTGCATTTTTTTAGCCTCGGGTGTCAAATTTCCCAGATCCGACACTGATCATTAAAGAAATAATATTTCATTGCACGTATTGTAATTATCTAACTAGAATTTGTCATAGCTCAAGATTGGCCATCGGTCCTGACATCAACTCTTTTTTTCTACCAGCTGTGGAACATTTTAAAGTAGGTCTGCTCCACACCACATCGAAATATCGAATCACTAAAAGCTGATTTGGTGAAATCAACTGCTTCAATATAGTTAGCACTTCATAAGTGGCGGCGTGGCGCGTGCAGTAGTACTCGAGTTGCCAGGTCGTCTGAAGAAATGTGAAAATACGAAAGGTGCAGCCGAGCATTCTTTTTGAATAGTTTTATTTATTATTAGTTACTGAGTTAATAAAGAATAAATTTAAATTACATCAGATTTTTTATATTTGTTGTATTGTATCTGTGTGTATTAAAACTGTAGCCTATAAGTATATGTTTACCTACACATTTACTTATTCTATGGTCATTGCAAATAAGTATAGATACGTACTTAGCAGTTAGCACATTATCGAAATTTGTATTTTTCTTTTAATCTGGAATCCACGATCCATTATTGCACATATAGGTACCCACCTATAAATACACACTAAACGTACAATATCAAATTTCAATTGTTTTTCAGACCCCCTCACAACATACCAAATTAATTTTTCTAAAACCCAACTCTGTGTAGTTACTTTTAATATTTGAGTGAATTCACCAATTATTAACTTAAAGCTAAGGGGTATGAACATTATCTATGTCCCTACGTTAGCTTTTTTACTATATTTTAATATGTATATAGTTTATAAGCATTTTTCAATTAGAACTATGGGTTACATTTATAATTACTTTTTATCATCTCATCAAAAAAACTAAGACAAGTAAAATTCGATATTGAAAAAAATTATGTTATCTATATCAAGTAAGGTATCCATGACAATTAACAATACAACTATAAGAGGTCATAATTTTTATTTTGAAACAAATCATTTTAAGGACATGGAGATCGTACCTTCATTGTAGTGTCCTGTACGCATGTGGGTAGAAAATAAAAAGAAATTGGATACTTTACGTCTATAATTTTAATTGGAAAAATCTGAGTTCAGTTAAGCTAGTTTACAGATTAAATTAATTATCACCAGAAAATGGCTCTCGGAATTAGGTAGGGACATCATTTTTGCATTATGTATAGCAGCACTCCCTACATTTCGTTCAATTTATGCCAAGATGTTATCCATGTTCATCAATTATATTTACTCATCTCGATCAATGGTATGGTAAATATAAATATTGTATATTGGATGTAGACTTTAGGTAGGTAGGTATACCTAAATGTACTCTCTACGAACACAGAATGTAGGTGAACTATAATTTATCAGAAGTCAAGTTATATTTAGGAATAAAAACTTTATTATACACTTTTAATTCCAATATATTTTAAGCATCAGAAATTTTTATTATTTATTATACTTACTCACTAGTCACTACAACGCTCAAATAACTTAATAACATATAGGTATAGTACATATTATTATTATAAATTATAATATAAAATATGAATAATTATGTTTTAAAATATTCCTACAGTAGTCGATAAGTATCCCTATGCACTTTACATGGATATCACGTTACTAAAAATTATAATACACGGCAAGTGGTAAATACTAGTAATGTAGGTACTAGGTACCTAAATAAAACGCGGAGCACAACAAACATTCGAATCCGTGCCGAATGCATTACTTATATGTTTTTACATAGGTAAATCCAACCATGGACACGCAACTTAAGTCTGTTGAAATGAATACTTACCAATTGCATTTATGCGTATGTATCTAGTTATAACATAGCATGTTTAGCTTCAATGGCGTACACACACGGGGGTGTGTTTTGGGTGTCAATATCCCCTTGGCTTTTTTTCACTATGAATATAAAAACGTGAAAATGTGTTTATAAATATATATTATATTATATACTTTTTTTTATTTAATACAACCATTGAAGGTGGGGGGTTATATTAAATCAATCTTAACTCAGATATTTCTGTGTACGCCACTGCATAGCTTTATCGAACTATTGACAAACATACCAGGAAAACACGAGAAAAAAAGGTAGTTGATCTTGGATGAAATAAATAAATAATCATTAAATAACAACAACTGTACTTACTATATTTCTATTTTTTTTTCTTAAGTAAAAATGACAATAGAAACATTAAGGCTCAAGGACATATTGGGTAAACACGTTTCTAACATATTCACGTGTTTAAATCATTGATTTCGCACCACTGAACTCAGTCCGTTTTTGTCCGAATTATAACTCGGAAAAAAAATTAATAACGTAGGTAGTGCACTCTAGTGGCACACGAACAGAAACGATAATATTGACGTTTCAGCTCGCAGTCCGCAGACCACACCCTGAAATTTTTTAACAAATTCCTTAGGGTAAGGGCACTAGGGCATTATCCATCAATTATTAATATTATCGCCAAATAAACTAATTTACATTTTTTAATTTTTACACATTTGTTTACATTTAAAGAAACTATTTACCCAGAATGTCTTAATACTTATTGAAATTACAATTTGTACGATTATTTTGAGCCGCTAAAGCCAACTATTTTATTTATTTTAATAGTGAATTTGCTATAGTGGTAGAATTATTAATGAATATTATATTATATTTAAAAAAAAAACCATATTATTATGTTATTATATTATATACTATATAATAATAATAATATTTAACATTATCTTAAAATTACAAAGAAAAAAATTTGTCATACATGAGAATTGTTGGTTCTGAAAATTAAAGCCCTTGGCAGTGTTTAATTTTTGATCAGAAACGAGTTTGTACATATAAGATAGAAATTTAAGAAGGTGTAGTTTAAATTTATTTAACAACAACCCCCTCCAAGGATACTTTTTAAATTGAATTCTACCACATAATAAGTTGTCTGAATTGTATAATTAAAAAAAGCATTTATTAAACGGCGTCATTAGTGAAATATTCCTAAAATACAAGAAGGTGTGGACGGGTGGAGAAATAATAACTTGTAATAACTATGAAATTAATGATTTAATGCTAACAATATTATTTTTAATTTTAACAAATTCTACAAATATAACACTGAATAAATAATAAAAAGGTCTTACGAGTAACAAATAAGATGGTTCACACCAATATATAGGAAATAAAATATTAACGTTTCATATCTCTCTTTCTGGTGTCAAAAAACTGATTGTAATGTCACTACGTTAATAGGCTTAAATTAGTTATGTTTTGAAGAAAGTTTTTTTAAATTTCATTACAACAATTTAACAACAAGCAGTGACATTATATATATATTACATAATAATAAACATAATTTTATACGATCATATACGATTTAAACTTAATTTATGCTTATTGCTAAAAATAAATTTCCAACTGGGCAACTTTCAAATTTGATAAGCACCCTTAATATACTAGTTATAAATAAAATAAACCACTTATAAGTAGAATAATAATAAATATATATTGCTGGGGACAGAGGAAGTAATTATTATTAAATTAGACCAAAAAGTGAAATTGTTAGAAATAAAATCAGCGTGTAATACTCTATCATAACACTAACCTACGAATAAGTAACTCACATTAATTTTTTTTTTTAACAACACTTTTATTATAAGCTACCTATAAAATAAATCTATGACCAGAATTAAAGTAGTTTACTTTTAGTTAAACGATAGGTTAAATTTAATATTATTACGAACTGAAGGAATAAACATTTATTGAGCATTAAATGCAATATTTTCAGGCTTGTTAAAGCGCAGTAAACTTAAGATTTGGATAAGTTAGGCATGATAACATTGAAATTTTAACAAATCATTGAGGTTAACAGGCAGGGAGGGGGTGATTACTGTTTTTTTATTAAAAAATAAAAACACACATCAACTTTGGTAAAAAAAATAATAATAAAAAATAAAATAAAATAATATTAATATTAATAATAATAACACAACAAAATACGGAGAACAAATGATTTGCACAATGAGCCTAAATTTGGTTTATACAATACAGCTAGTATACCATTATTGAACTTGAATTATTCCCATTTGCATGTGGGAAAACTTTCAATTTCATATTTTATGGAGTAAAAAATACAATAAGCAGTAAGTATAACACTGTTTTAGCTGGACCAAAACAACAAATAGCTGTTTTCATTTAGTTATTTGTTAACAACTATGATACATTTTTTACTAAAAACATAAATAAAAATTGGTCTGGCAAACCTAATGCATCTGTATCTAAAACTTTTATTCCTTACTTATGACCTTTGTTTAAAATGTGTTATTATTCATTTAACTGTCAAATTATTTCCGGTGTCGTACATCACCACCGCTGTGGTCGTTAGCATTGTTTCTGAAATGAGTAATAATAAAAAAAAAATGAATACAATATTACAATATCTAAAAAAAAATGTAAGTGTCAAAGATAAAAAATATTATGTCAAGGTATAACATTATGTCATGAAATGTATATCTAATCAGAATTTGCTACAATAAAAACCTAATATATTAATCTTTACAAAACACCAGTATTCTTGTAAAAGCAAAACTATAATGTCATATTATAAAAATACAATATTTAATACTATTAGGACTATACAGTATAAGCTATATTTATGACCTATAAGTTTTAAATTGAGAGATTAAAAAAAAAACAAGGTTCCTTAATATATATTCTAATACATAAATAAAGCTCATCTTACTTACGTCTCTGGCCCTTGGTCAGTGTCACTTTCCTCAAATTCGGCCTTGTTACGTTTCTTCTCATAAATAAATATAACCAAACACAGAAGGATCACTTCAACACAAATACCCAAGAACGGCCACAATGCAGCCATTTTGTCTATAGCATAATAAAAATAAACCAATCAAATAAAACAAAGCATTAACTTCCCACTAGTCTTTAATTTATTACCTTTAATGCGCACGTAGGAAGCAGCAGAGTGTACAGGCTCAAAGACAACACTATTTTTTCCACTGCAGATGAAGTTTCCTCTATCATTCATTGTGATCGGATCCAAAACTAAGATGGCATTGGAAATATTCTTTTTGTTAGGTAAAAATTTAATATGTTCAGAAGGCACAAGAGTGGTATTTTCTATAACAAAAATGTATTAACAATTAGCTCAAAAACGTAAGTATAAAAAAATTGTAATTTTTCCCATAGTATACTTACCAAATTTCCAACTAACTTCTGGTGTAGGTACACCATATACAATGCATTCCAATTCCATTTTTTCACCCTCGATAAATGTAGCTGTTTTTGGCAGTTTCATGTAAGGCTTTACTATAACAAAAATACAATGTCTTAGGCATTTTTTTTTAGTAATATTTAGTAACAAAATACATAATATGTAGGTGCGCTATCACAATTTTAATATTTAAGTCAATCTAATATTAAATCCTACACTATGTACATATATACTGGAGATAAAATTTGAGTAATCTCAAAACATATTATATTATCATTAAGTTAAATACATAAATGAAATCCATTTAATAATATTGAAATTAAAAATAGATTAGTATTATGTCAATAAAAACCAGTATCAGAAGGCAAAAGTAAAAGTGGTTACACGGACTAGTAAAGTAATATGTTGTACAATACAACAATCCATGACAAGAATGTACATACAAATATGAAGAACAAATATAGAATACACTTCTAAAGAAGTGCAATCTTTAAACTATAAAATCTTACGAAGGGCAAACAGTTTAAATCTTAACTTAGTATGAGATTACTAGTTGTTAATTAATAAAAAATAATCTCAAATCATATCTCATATCTTGTATATCTAACAATATTTTTCTACTTTAACAAGGTAGGGTGTACATACACAAGTTATTTATTGGATAGCTTCTATACAAATTAGATGTATAAGAAAATAAAAAAAGATATTTGATTAAAATATGATATAAAATAATATACTAACAGACAACGTTGAACACCTTCTTGTCAACTGGACTCATAGTGGAAGTGAATAAGCTGCATGTATACTGACCAGCATCGTTTTCAACAAAACGATTAACTATCAGAGTGTTTCCACTCACATCAATGTGGTGTGGGTCTTCAGAGTCAGTTGTTATTTGATTGTCACCTTTAAACCTACAAATGAATAATTAGAGGCTATTTATTTATAATTAAATATATGGATAACTGAAATGTATATACTAACCACTTCCATATGTACTTTTGATCTTGAGTGCCATCAACATTACAATTAAGTGTTAGTTTGCTTTTATATTCACCTATTTTATACTTATCGCCGTAGTCATAGTTTGCTTTTATAGTTGCTTGAGCTAAAACAAAATTATAAACAAAAAAATAAATACACAGGTACTAAAAATGATTGCTAATTGCTTTTTTAGGATATTTTAGACATTAAATGAATATCTAATGTATAGGTGATTAATATTGGATTTTAAACAACATAATATACAAATTACATATTATATGCATTAGTACAAAAAAATCATATTATGAATGTCTGCAAGGTTTAATGTTATATAATATGTATATTTTATTTCAAATGCAAAATCTATATAACAAATAATGCAAACAATAAAAACCGACAACAGTAATGGGTTAATACCTAACACAATGATAAATCTAATCTATATGAGATGTCGCAGTATACTGGAAAGTGTGTCTAGTCGCAATAGTTAATTTATATGCGAGCCAAAAATGAAGCGAGGCGAACCGGTCCGGGCACATGGACATTTATTTTAAAAGCTCATCATAGCCGGCACGTACCGGTAACCACATACAGTACATGAAACTTGTTGTACTGTGTTGTGCATCGATAGGCACCCGAATGCATCGAGGATGCAGAATTGGCTGTAATCGTGGATACAAACATATTGTCACTAGTTACTGCTTCGCTGATATTGAAGTGTTCACCAGTAACCAGGGTGTGACCATCTTTTTGCCATTTTATGACTTGGAACATTGACACACGACATGTTATCTTAAATGGGTCGCCATCTCTCACTGTTGTATTACCCTCGTAACTGGGCTCATCAGCTAAGTAGTCCAATTTCGTTTCCGAAACAAACAAACATATTTTTTCATACCCCAAAGCCACGAACAATTTAAATAAATAAATAAATAAATAAACAAAAACTAAATAATCAAGAGTTATAGTTGTGCTAAATAATTTAATTGTTAAATAGCTTACAAACTTTATAACTAAATATGTACATTTATGTAGTTAAGTATTTTAAGCATAATTTATCTGTACCTATAAAAACATAGCGAGTTCCTATAATATTCCTAAACATCACATTAACTACTAATATATAAATATAATTACTTTTTTCATTTAGTTTATATGTGTATTTAAGGTATGAAAAAGTAGGTGAAGTATCTTAAAGTTAACTTTCTTTAATTATGTGTTAGATACATAGTTAAAAAACATTACTAGATAGATAGGTATTATCACATAGGTACGTCTTCTCATCCAAACTAGCGCACCACGCCTACTGTCGTTTTCGTTATTTCATTGGTCGAAGAAATTTCTTGCGCCAATATTTTATAATATTTAATATTACACTATAATACATATAAGCCATAAACTTGGTCATAACAGTATACCTAACACTTAAATAGTAGGTCATAAACCCATTAGAAAAAAATATTTCAGAAAATCAAAAATAATAATTTTAAATAAAATATTTGAAAAAATATGTTTTTAAAATATAATCTAGTACCTATTGATAATATGAATAGCATTGAAAAGCCAATGAGAAACACAGATAACTCAGTTAAAGACTGGGTCTGAAAAGGAATATGCATGATAGTAAAAATGTGATCAAACCCATCTATTTAGTAAAGGTTAAGAATTAAAAATGTACCTATAGGTACCTAAATAATATTTACTTTCTTACCTACCTATAGCAAATATCCATCAGTAAATGTGTACTTATTATAATATTTTTATCAAAATTAAAATATATTTTACCTAAAAAGTATCAAATAAGTAATAACTACGATAATATACTTAGTAATAACGTATTATAAATAAATTAAATATAATACCTATATTTTTTTTTTTAAAGCTTAATAGTCAATATTATTTGAATTAAAAATGTACCGATATCTTTAATTGAATACTTTAAATAGGTAAGTAAAAAGGTTTATGCATAGTGCTAATAGACAATAAGAAAGTAAATACATAAACTAAGTAATAATAGTACCTAATTGATTTGTGTCAACACGTTACTAAAAGATTATCTTATTAAGGTAATATTGACATTGAATGAATTTATTTTGGGATATTAATATTAAATACTATTAGATCAACTATTAATTTAGATATCATTCAAACAAATCAGTTCATATTTTGTGCCTAACAACACACAAGCTATTAACAGAAATGTATACAAATATTGAATGTACATTAAGCTTAAGTTGTCTAGTCGTAACACCCATCAGCATTCTAGGTATAGGTCAAAGGTAGTAGATGAAGGAATTATTGCACCTGTCGTTAATATCTAGTACCTATATTATTGTATACATACATAGATATAATTCTTTCTTTTAAATAAAGTAATATCTTACACTATTTCAATTTGTAGTTTTATATTCAATATATGTACTCGAAGTCAGTGTAAAATTACTGCTTTGACAAGTTTAATAGGTGAGAAATTGTTCGATGTTAAAATTATAATACAATTGAAATGTATTGTACCTACAGATGTTAGTTTGAAGCAAAGCTGTCAAAAAGTTGGATGGGAGTAGACACAGAATATGACGTAGGTAGCAACACAATCTATTTAGAAGTATATAGGAAGAGTTTTGTGCATTGATGGTTGGCACTAATTTTAAAATCAAGAAATAAGTCATGGGCAGGTGGCACTGTGGCAGCATTCCGACAAGACAACTTAAAAAATTACAAGTTACGAAACCTGGACATAAGAGACTAAGGTTGGTTCTTGGGGGTTATGGTGCTAGACGTACAGCACACCAGCAAGAGGAAACTCGTTGAACATTTTAAATCATTTGTTTATTTTATATATTTATTTATTTTCAAACGACGCGGGTAAATCGGGTAACGCCCTAACCCTAAGCACAGTAACAGCAAAACGATGTAAAAACAAAGCAACGTACCCAAGACCCTGGAGGGCCCGAAATCCAACAGGGCGCAGAATACGACACTGTACACAACGACGCTGAGCGAATTCCAGCACATAATTCAGGATACGTTTTCCCGGGTATTGGTCGGCTGAATTTCTCAGCAAATCACTCTAAAACGATCGCACTGGCCGTCTAGTCGTCGCAGCCACCGCCACCGTCGCGCTCTTGGTCGTCGTCGTCGCTGCCGCCGCCACCACCGCCGCCGCCGCCGTCGTGATCACCGTAGCCGTAGCCGTGATCGACGATATGAAGGTCTTCGTTACCGTCACCGTCACCGTCGCTGAACGTAGAACCGAAAAATTGTTACGAAAAAAACTGCGACACCCACACGGCCACAAGAGAACACGAATTAAGTATAATACCTATGTATAAAAAAAAATTAATTTTTACTCAAGTCACACGCACAACTCACGACGACTAGTGTGTTGGTGTCGGTGTGTGTGTGTTCGGTGCGCGTGTATGCGTATGAAAAACCGTACGGACTACGGACGCCCGCGCGCGCGGAATTAAAAAGGCGATATTATTCGGCGGACCGTGTGTGAGTGAATGTGTGTTGGTGAGTGAGTGTGTGAGTGTATAACAGTGGGACAGTGTGTGTATGGAACGTACGACTGCCCGTACAGTGTGTACAGCGGCGAGTGGAACGTATGTGTGTGTGACTGAGTGAGTGAACGAATTTGCGAGTGAGTGAGTGAGCGCGTACGTGTATGAGTGTGTGTGGGTCTGTATTACGGTGTTCAGTCGTCGGAGAGAGGTAAAATAGGCTAAAAATTTCCTTGTGCCCCGCGGAACAGGGCCGACAGAAAATAACTCGAAGGGAGAGAAGAGACGACGACGACGACACACACGCACATATGCGGCGACCGAGAGAGAGCGACTACGGGGCCGCCGTCATTGACTCGGCGTTGGTGCGACCGAGACGGCCAACATCACCGCTGCGGCGGCGGCGGCGCCCTGTCGTATTGATTTGCCGCCGCTCCACGCCCCGCCCTGCGCCGCGACAGCGTAACCGTCGCGTAGCCGCTATAGCCGCCGCCGCCGTCGGGCGCTCGACAGTGGTACCGCGGTCGTCGGATCTAAATTATTCGCACGTTACGCGGTGGAAAACACCGCATCCGCCCCGGGTACGGCCGCTACAGTCTCGCGCCGAAAGTTCCTACATGGTTTTTCCGTTTTTCCGACCGGCGAGCTCCTCCCCATCGTTGCTGTCGCCGACCTCGAAATTCAACCGGAGAGCCGCTCCCCCCACCATGTGCGTGTGTTCACGAACCACCTCCCGGGCACTGCCACCACCCGCCTCGCTAAGCCATCGAGCCCGCTCGCCGAGCGCCACGGCCGGGCCGGGACAACCGACCGGTACACGTCAGCCAAACCGTAGGTCGTGTCCCTTTTGTTGGGATGGTTGGGGGAAGGGAGTGAGCGCTTGCGCGATCGGAAAACTCCTTTGCGCTCGCTCTCTCTGTTTCGTCTACGATTATCCCCATAACCGTATTTCTCTCTCATTATCGTTATTTCTCCTCCGCTCATTCATCCCCGTCATCAATTCACCCCCACGCAGAGTAGGTCTATTTTCTTTCCACTCCTCCCCCATCGGCGTATTCAAGTCCCTGGCCACCCGTATTATACCCTCGTTGGTTTTATAATATAATAATAATAATAATAATTAATAATAGTATATACGTATGTGTGCGACATTGACAACGGTAATACATAATACTATAATAGTTATAATACTTGAATCATGTACTTAGGGGTGGTGGATGAGTGAAGGGTTACGGATCGGGATGGATTGCACGACGTGACGTGTATACGTCATACCTGTCCTGATTATGTTCAGTGGTGGAAGGGGGGGGGGGGTGGAAGTCTATCGAAAGTCACAGCGCAGCGGCAATGGTGTTCCGATAACTTACCCGTTCCCGTGTACACTGCAACGTAATCAGCCGCCGGCGGCACTCACACATATGGGTCAAAGTGTGTGTACATTCGAACGTTGTCGTCGGACGATCGACATGCTGTCTGCCGCCGTCGCCGCCGCCGTTTATATTTATATAACCCCGACCGCGACGGAATTTTTTTTTATAGATGTTTAGACGTAAAGAAAATAGCTTTATTAGTCTAATTAATGGGCACTGGCTCATGAGATTTTCGCTGCCATTTCAAAAGAATTCTCGTAAACGCTTTTGGGTCTGACACAGAAACTGTGTCCGACTATCGAATGAGTGTGATACATCAATACATCATAATATTTATATTCCGCGTTAACCGTTGCGCGTCGCTGCAATTTCTCCGACATCGGTTTAATATTCCGTTCAATATCGATCGCTCTCTAATAATCAATAATCTCTGTGCGTGTACACAATATGATTTGTTACAATATAATCTTTCTATTATTGCCGTGACATAAGCAGGCCGTGTACAATCTAGTTTTAGGTGTTGCGTATATATAGGCGATAGGTCTATCGGTGTGTGTACTATAATACTGATACACATAACCTTTATAGTTTATATTGTTATTGCCGGGTTTACCGCTCCATTACACCTGCTCATAGAACTGTGCCAAAATCTCTCTTAATATTATTGCATCGATATTTTCGAGTAAAAAAATTAACTGTTCAATAATGGAGAGGGGTGCACAGTTACTACTGACTACTACTGCTGGAGGCTTAAGTATATTGGCAAGGGTTACTCTCGACAATTCAAGTGGGTAAAAACCACCCAAGGGACATAAAGAAATTATATGTACAAAAATGTACAGTATGTATAATATTATATACTTAAGATATGGACCACAGAGCAATATAGGGAATAGGCACTTAAGAGTTAAGAGGGCGTCATCATACCCCCGCTTTTGAGGGGTTTTAAATTTTTAAATAAGCAGATTCATTGATTTTTTTTATAAGAATAATTAAGATATAAATAATGAATATAATTATATTTAAAACATAAATAATTTTTTAATACAAATATTTGTGTTGAATTGGAAATTAATAAATGTTTAGTACCTATATAATTCTTTAAAATATATTCATTTCCATTAGAATGAAAAATGTAAAGTACTTACTTACTTTACTTTATATCATAGGTTAAATTATTTTTCAGTTATAATAAAAATTTGATCAATATGTGTCATTATGTTTTAAATGTTTATAAATTAAAAATCGTTCATAGTTGATAATAGGAAATCAAAAATTAATCGTAGGTATCATATCGCAGCTGTATACTCAGCACGGATATTTCAGGTAGGTACCTAATAAAAAAATGGTCAAAGTCGATACAACTCAATCTGAAAATATAAATAATACATATTTTAATTTGACTTCCCCAAATATTATATTATATTATATTCTTATATTCTGTCATAACCATATTAAAAGAAATACAAACCAAAACCTATACTTAAATAAACAGACTAACTGAAGCATTTAAATAATGGATAACGCCAATGGTTCTAAAAAATATTTTTAGGTAATTACTAATTACAAGCAAGAAGATCAGAGTATACATTTTTTAATCGATTTGAGTTAACAAATCAATCATTTTCACCTGAAAAAATCGGGACAAAGTTTACAACAGATCTTTTGAACATTTATTTTTGTCTGGCAGAGTTTACAATCTCCAATCTCGTGGGTAGGTACTATGTTAAGCTATTACAAAAAAATGAATAGGTTTAATATAATAGTTTTAGTTATGACTCGTAATTTCCAACTTATTACCTACATATACCTACTTATAGATTATATGTATATAACCGTTATTAATTATTACATATACAAAATAAACACACCGCACAGCACTGTATCTGTATACATAACAGTATTTTAATATTTAATACATTAAACAAACAAAATGCACTACGTTAATTAAGGTTCAGTTCAGTTATCCATATTTTGTAGTTATTTGTTTAATTAAAATCTAGAAAAAGTGTACACTGAGAAATAAGAATCAATCAAAATTTGTAAATCGAATATTATTTGCCAATTAATATTTGTTTTGAAAATAAATATGGCTATTGATGTTTACCAATAAATAATATTTTAATAATATATCTATCCCGGTATTATTATATTTTAGAGAGTACCTACTATTTCAAAACACTTTTATTTTTGACGTTATACTTTTGATATTTTATGTTTTGAAAATTGGAAATAATGATTTAACAGTATTGTATATGTATTCAAAATTTCGAGTGTTATTTGACTGCAGTTCCCCAACACGTGTTGACAATTTAAAATAACATTTTCTTATCCTTTGATCCTTTAAATAATTCAGAAAAATGTACCTAGTAAAAGTTAATGTGTAACTTCGATAAAAAAAAAACCCATATCTATTTGATCTAAAACACAAATATTAAATACCAATGAACAATAAGTTAGAATTGTCATGAAATTATTTAAAATAATAAAAACTATCCTAGTAAGAGAAGAAAATATTTTGATAAAAATGTGAAAATGTAAAAAAGTTAAAAATAAAAATGTAACTGATTGTGTAAGTACATTTAATATTAATCATACATTTGAATAAAGCAGTGTCGTCATTTCAGTTTTTTTTTAGTACGCATATTTTAATACAGGCCACAGAGCATAAACCCTGTTTAAAATGTATCCATTTTTCGGACCAAACAATTTATAAGAAATGGGCCAAATCTTAATAATATCAGATTTTTTAAATGCGCAAATGAATACCTTGTGCTATTCAAATAGGTAGGCGGAAAAAAAGACCACAAAAATAAAAGTCCACGAGAATGCCATACAAATATGCAATTATTGTTCTATTTTAAATGTTCAAAATATTTCGTTGATTATAATTCGGAAAAGCATAATACTTAATAGTACTTACATAATTTAGATAACAGATAATAATAATCACTACTAGTGGCCTAGAAGCTGATGTCAGGAAGATGAATAAAAAAACAAAATAGTAGGGTCATTAATGTTTATTCGTTACAGATGTATTAAACTTGAGCAACGAACTAATATTATAGGTACTATCGCCTGTTCTGTATTGACTTATTGAATTAATATTTTTATAGTTGTGTATTTTTTGTAGAATATACCTAAGACTGATATTGTTTGACTGTAGTTTTGTCTGACCATATTATATCATTAATTATCTAATGACTCAATACAAAACAAATTTATGATAATAAATCATAACTTATAACACAATTTATTATGTATACATGTGTTCATATTTATATTACAATTTTTCCGGTGGTATTTTTTTTCGTGGTATGTTCATTTTTTGGAGCTTTTTTTCCGTTACATTTTCTGGTCTTATTTTAATAACAACAATCAATTATAAAAATCTTAAGGTCTTGGCCCAATGTCTGACTTACTGGTAAATACTAAAATACCTATATAATATATTCGAGATTATCTGTTTGTTATCATTCATATAAACCAATAACAGTATTAACCTATAGTATTTAGTAATCTATATTAGATCATTTAATATATACTTCCATTATGTATTTATGTACGTCTTATATAGTTATTCAAGTATAAATAATGTGACCTACATAACATATATTACATATGCGTTATACACTAGTAGTTAGTACACTACGTTACTAAAACAGTACCTACTGCACATTTAAATTTAACTACATAATATTATGTACCTACCTAATCTCTTATCAGTTATAATTACTGATTAGGTGTGCATTGATACTAGGTATTTAATAATGACAGTAGGAAATAATACGAATTACAAATGGATCAAAGCAGTGAAAATTTCATTCTGTCCAGTATACAAGACAGCGCAACGTCATTATTCCGTTTATCAATTACCACGAATGTCCACGATAATAGATATGATACATTGATACCTCATACCTACATGGCTATACATTGAAATTCAAATAAACAAAAACTCATTTAT